AGGAGTCAACCTGGGTCTGCATACAGCACCTCAGGAAACTGGTCAGAAGCCCCACCCCAACTTGTTTGGCATTTGGCCTGCTTTTCAATGTCACTTTAGCTCCCTGTATGTAGTGCACCTGGAATCCTGGGATTTCAAACTGCTCTGGGACTCTGGGAAGCATGGCTTTACAGAATGAGCCACTCAGGAAGCCAGTGTTTCCTGGCTGTCTTTGTGTCGCTCCGCCCTGCGAGCTCACCTGGGTAAGCCGTCTGTGTCGGAGACGCGCTGGAGCCGGTCCAGCATGAGCTGCGTGGGTCCTCCGCCCCCGTCACCAAAACCAAACAGAACGGCGCTGTGGTTGGCCCTCCCCTTGTCCCTGTTGTTCCTCACCGAGTTCAGCAGCTGGGAGGGAAGACAGGACGCAGGGATGCAGACAGACATTACGTCAGCAGCCTCAGCCGTGACGTCCTGAAGGGCAGAGGAGAACTCTAGAAAGACGGACTCACATCCTCCACTTTGCACTTCATCTCGTACGAGTTCCCGGGGGGGAAGTGTGTCAAGACCTGTGAGCCATCCAGGCCTTCCCAGAAGAAGGTGTTGTGCTGACAAATGAGTGAAACGTTGAGCGGTTATTGTGAGTGAGAGCTCGTGCTCAGATCTAGTGGAGTGATAGCATTCACACGCACAAGTCTTTCACAGGGAACATACAGTATGTCTAAGACTTAGGCTCTGCCTCTTTCAGTGTGACTTACTGCAATTAGATAAACATTGTGAGCTACTGAAATCATCGTATTCAATCTCAGGCCAGCTTGTACTGATTGGAATAATGCAGTGGAGGAAATGTAATGTGATGGAGGAAAAGGAAGTGAATACAATTTGAACAGCTTGTCGTTTAAAACGTAAGAAGTTATGTGTGTTTTGCAGAACACACGTATGTCTGATGAAAGTTATGTCTAGGGAAGTTAATCAACAGACAAATCAGTTAGTGTGACCTTACTTCATATTTTCTACAGTGAAAACCAACAATATGCATAAATGCAAAAACAAATGTAGTTACCTTCTCTATTGTATGGCTTGCTAATGAATACAAAATGGTGTCTGGTGTGAGTTAGGAAATAGATTGCAGTGCAAAACCTGGCCAAGTCCAGCTTCTATATTTAAGTATAATGAAATATTCTGCTATTCAAAGTCTTGGCCAGAACACTCTTCGCGGCTCATATTCCACCTGCTGTGCTGGTGATGGAGACACCTACAGGGAACGTGTTGACCAAGTTCCAGCTGAGCTTCTGAGTCAGGAAGCTCTTTATTCCACAGCCCTGCATGATCTGAGGCAGCTGTGCAGAGTAGCCAAAAGTATCTGGGAGCCAGAACTGTAGCCAAAAAGACAAATAAAAGATGTTTTAAACCATATAGTGTCGCATTGCATACCAGACCCTATTGTATCAACAGGCTAAAACTGAATGCATGAAAAAGACCACGTCTGGACTATAAGAAGGGTTACATACAGGAGAAGACTAGTATTTGGCCCATCTAGCCTGTCTGTTTCAGCAGTTGCGCTGAGTTTTTTCAACGTGTGGTAGCAGTTTGTTCCATCCGTACACATTGGTATAAAAAATGTGCATCCTGTTTACAGTTTTAGATGCACTTCCCCTTGATTTCCACCTGTATCCTCTGGTTCAGATTTCACTTTAGTTTCTGAAGCGATCATTTGAAACAGCTTTTTTCTCTTTGGATAAATATGCTACAAACTACCAAATGGTTTAGATACGCCAGATAGCCGCTTGCCACTTGTAACAATCTTATGTTCTTAAACACTGTACTATTAAAATCAGTGCAAGGCTGAGACTTTAATGATCTGAATACTAGCCAATCATCTGTCCACACCTCAGTGCAGTACCGCCCAAACTCTTGGTGGAAGAAGCGCTGCCCCTCCAGGAACTGCCTGACCATAGACTCGCCAGAAGGCAGGTTCCCATCCTGGCAGACACACGAAGAAAGATCACGGCATCGCAGTAAAGATCCACGCCTGTGCGATACAGAGATCTCTTCTGGGAAACAAACTGGTAGATTGCTGGTTGTATTTAAGTAAATATACTTCCAAGTATAAATACACAAGCAAGAATAAATACACTGCATTTCAGCACAACACCTCTGTTTCAGTCTGTATCATTACTTTACCACTTGAAGAGTAGGAAAAAAGTCCTCTTAACAGATTTCAGTTGACATTGCAATGCGTAATTTCACTCAGGTCAGCTTATGACGAGCTACTGACAAAGCATTTTTGGTTAAACTATTCTGCCTTTAGGATGTTTTACATTTAAAACACATTTAAAACCTGGTTTTCCCAGCAGCACAGCTGCCCATCTGATTAACCAGGGAAAGCAGGCACTCTGTAAATCAACAGCTGGCAGAAGCTCCCGTCAACCAACTTACCATCTCCACCCATGTGCCTCCAACAGGTACAAACTGCCCTCTGCTGGCAAACTGCTGGATTTGGGAGTAGAGGCCAGGGTACCATTTCCTCACCCACTCAAACTGCTGGGCCTGCAGACAGAACATACAGAGGTGTTTTTTTCACAAAGGCTTTTTTGATAGAATTTTACCTTTTGTATCTCCTTTGAGTTTTTGCTTTTATAT